ATAGAAGTTCTTTACAAAGGCCAAAGCGACCTCGACAGAAACACAATACCTATTTAAAAGCCTAAGTGGCCTGGTCATCTTCAGGAGTAGCATCTCCACCCTCAGGGTCTTCTCCACTTTTGGATTCACTCGAGCTCTCAGGTTCATCATCATCATTGGGATAAGCTAAACTCCTAGATTCAGCTTCGAGCTCCTTAATGTTCTTGATCTCGGCTATGAGGTCAAAGCCCCGAGCATGGATTTCCTCAAGGGTCTCCCTTCGAGATTGACATATGGCATGCTCGGCCATCTCCTTTGCTCGAACCTAAACGGCCTCGGCATCGGCTCGGTAAACAGACACCACTGTATTAGCATTAGCCTTCGTTGCTTTGATCTCCGATTTGGAAGCTTCGAGCTCCGTGACCAGTTTCTTCCGACTGGAAACTGCCGAACCCAACTGGGACTGGAGCTCCTTGATTTTCTTGGCTTGCACCAAGGTTTTCTCTTTTTTACTTAGGAGCTGGATTTCAGCCGAGGCCAGATGATCCATGTTCTTTTTTCGTTCCTTGGCCTCAGTTTTTATTGCACCTACTTATTGATGGAGCTGCACGATCATGTCAAGTTTTTGTTGGATATGCGGGTTCGGACCATTAGTCACCGTGCCCGATTCACCATCACTAACTTCAAAGATTCTTCTTACCTGCTCGGTTAGGTCGGCATGCTCTTTCTAAGCCATTTCTAGCTCAGCCTGAAGACCTTTAACTTCCCCTTCTCTTTGCTCGCTAAGAAGTTTGTAAGCACCCTTCTTCTTGGGGAGCCCTCGGATCTCGGCCTCGTACCGGCTCAACTTCTCTCGGGATCAGAGGAAGGCCTTATGATGAAGCACTGAATCCTGCAAACACAGAAAGGGAAATTATATAAAAAGCATAAGTGCAGAACTTAAAACTGTCCAAAAGATCTAAGGGTACCCGATTTAACGCATGTTGAGCTTTATTGAATAGGCAGGGTATTTCCACCTCATCCATCGTTGCTTGGTATTCTTCGGTCACCAAGCACTGAAGATATCTTGCCACCTCTACAGGGGTAGAGAGGACCCGAGCATCCTCTGGGATCGAGATGACAATCAATTGCTTTCGCCTGGAATCGACACTTGGAGATGGAAACCAACTAGTTAGTTTAAGGCTCGAGGAAGCCTGACTAGAGCTCTTTATCGGTACTTCCAAGTCACCCAGACCGGTGACATCCTCCACTCCGACAAAATAACCACGAAAAAGGTCTTCTTCTCTATGAACGCTTTTACCATGGCAAGTCTCCACCACTTGAGCCTCCTTGATCATCGACTCACTAAATGAGGGAAATGAGGGGGAACCTTCAATGTTTGTTACCCCAAGTAAATCTTTTGGGGATCCACCTTCATATAGGGAGGCCTCGAGCCAAGTTTCCACACCAGTGTCAACCGCCTCCTCATCAGCCCATCTCTCTCAAGATGGAGCATCTTCGACCCTTTGTGGTTTAGGGGCTTCGGATAAGACTCCCTTCTCGAGCTCACCAAGTCATGGTAGTGTAGTTTTAGCTCTCACCGGCTCGGGGATTTCTTGAATTACGATGCCTGACCTCGGATGAGCCACTAGCTTGGATCCTTCCTCTTTTTCTTCAGACTCATCCAACAGCCGACGAACTGAGTCGAAAGATAGGATGATCGTGTTTCCCTTGGGTTTAGTTTGCTTCTTTTTGGGCTTCTACCCCCCCGAACTCGTGGAACCCGAAGCCCCTTTCCTCTTCTTATCCCTCACCGGCTTCAGAACAGATGGTTGGGGAAGGATTTCTTCATCACCAGATGGGGGCCTCATTGTCACATCCTTCCTGAGACCTACAAAAGGAAAGAGACAAATGAGCTCAAGAAGAAGTCCAAAGCAACGACCGATTATTGAATTAGAAAGAAAAATTTACCATGATTACGGGCCTCTCATCGACCCTTCGATAAATCGCACCATGCGCACTCAGAATATGTCTTCTACGACACTAGGCCTCTGACCCAGTCCTCAAGTTGGGGAATCACACCCAACATCCAGGCAATAGTTGCATCGAAAAACACTAATAAGGGAGGGAGGAAAAATGAAGACACAATAAGGGCAGAATTATACTTACGGTTCATATTCCATTTCTCAGAAAATGGCATACTCTCGGTCAGGATCAAGTTCGAGGTCTTCAGTCGAACAAATCGGCCCATCCAACCCCGGTTTTTATCCTTATCTATGCTTGAAAATAGGGTCCTGTGGGATCGGCGTGCAAGTTTTATTAATCCCTCTCGATAGAGTCGGGGACTATATAGACGTATAAGATAATCAAGGGTGAAGGGACACCCATCGATTTTTCTTACAAAGAAACGAAGTAGTATCACTATCCTCTAGAAAGAGGGGTGAATTTGATTGAGGGTCACTTCGTACTTCTTGTAGAAATTGATAATAATCGGGTCCAAGGTACCCAACGTGAAGGGGTAAGAGTAAACACTTAAGAAACCCTCGACGTGCATGGTGATTGATTCCTCGGGCGCAGGTACCACCACATGTTTACCATCCCAGTTGCAATCTTTTTTAACCTGGGAGAGGAGATTGTTGGGGATCGAACACATATATCTCGATACTGGCTCACATCTACCGGTACCGATGAAGTCTTTTCAACCTTAAAATTGGAATCGATGACACACCCTCTGGGAAAAAACTCTTCAGGGCGTGGTTCCGCCAATGGTTCCTCGTTGGCCGACCGTGACGAGTAAGTAGTTGCCTTTTGTGGAACAGTTTTGGAGGTCTTAACCATTTTCTTTTGTGGGTAAATAAGAACAAGAAGAAGTCAGAAGGGATACTTGGTATTATGAGGCAATAATAGGCAAAAAACTTCGCAGAGATCTCTGATACAAGCACTGAGAATTGCAATGGATTTTGAAAATGAGAGTGAAGAAAGTTTGGATGTAAAGTTTGGGCAAAAGAAGAAGGGTATATTTATAGGTTTCAAATGGCGGTTCAAATCCAGTAATGGCCGACCGTCGACTGACGCACATTTAATGCCTTGAAAATTTTATCGATGGGACGTTTCGATGACCTTTTGTCACTTACATCATGATTTATCAAGGTGAAGATCGAGGATTCAAATCGTTTCTTATTGTTTACTCTCCAAAAAACAAGGGGATTGTCTGTATACGATAAAATTCGAGCCCGATGCTCGATCAGGAACCTGAAGCAATAGACCGGAGTTGGCACATCTGTATCAGGGTAGAAACCGAAGTCATGGGTGACATAGGCCTCAATATCCAAGTTCGGGGTTCGATCTAATGTCCAACATAGTCAGCCGGTTCGGAATATGATAAATACCAGACTCGAAAGCAATATCGAAGCCGACCATCGAAATTATCAAACTTGCCCCCGAGTTTGTCGAGGACATAATCGATCATATTCTTAACGGCCTTGAAGATAAGGCCTGCCAGCTCAGCCGATAAGGGTGACTCTTGCCACTAACTAATTATTATAGTGTGAATCATGGTATTAGTGGAAAAGGTAGCTAACGGTCAGAAAGACCTATATTTTCTTATAGAATAATGCAAAAAATGGGAGATTTTCCCCCAATAAATAGAGGAGACTGAGTTATTCATAGCGGCATTGAAATACACTTCTAATCAATATACTGTCACTTCTAGTTTCAATTTATTTCTACCCTGTGTTCCATAATATCATTATTGGCTAAAGGGAAATCAATCTCATAAGGCCAAAGTTTGCTACATTTGTGAAGGTTGTATTTATCTTTCTACAGTTTATTTCTACATTAATATAATTTCTTGCCCTTGTATCAATTCATATCACTTATCTTTAGAACCACGTATAAATTCAATTGTTATACGATTTTAAGGGTAAATCGGTTTATTCAAGGGAATTTGGCATTGCAAGACAATCTAACCTAATAAATAAGCCCAATTTATAGTTATTGGCACCTTGCAGTCCACATTTATATTTTAATTTGATAAATTAGTATTTTATAGTCAAACTCGGTTAGCTCACAATAATTAAAAGAGAAGAAGAAGAAGAAGAATAAGAAGAAGATGCAACTCTCTCTCTCTCTCTCTCTCTCTCCTCTCTTCGTTGAATACCTCTACTCTAGCTCCCTTCCAATAATCTTTCTTCTATTTCTCCCCAAAATTTTCAGTCTTTCTTCCCAAATCTCCCTATTACATTATTCTCCTCCAATAACTATTGCTGAAATTATATAACTTTCGATTGGGTAATATTGGATATTTTTAGAAAACGTTTTAAGAAATTTGAATATCGAATTTTGGAGGTATTTAGAGATGATTTAAGGCGAATTTGGGATGATTTTCAGATTAAAAACTCTGAGATTAATGAATGCTACATTTTGTGTATGTCCCTCTATATATCCACGTATATCACTTTATATGCCAGTATATATTACCATGTATATCCGTTTATCTCATGTATAGTGGTGACAAAATGGTTAAAAGAAGAGAATTTTTCCTAAAGCACCATCTTTTAGGTCTAATTAGTCATTTATAGATACCTTTTGCTATATTACGTGTTATAAATACCTTTTATGTGGTTATACAATGTATTTGATGTATTTAAGCTATTGTATTCATTAATAAAATAGCAAAAATAGGCATTAAAAAGGAAATTCCAGCCAAGGTTGATATGTATTTGACTGTATTTACGTGGCCTTATCGTGAATACAGTAATGTATTTGCGTAAAACCTGGAAGGTTGAACTAGTTAAAAACGTAAAGGAAATCAAATCACCTGATATTCTCCTAATTTAATTCAACGAACAAAAACTATTATCCATTAATCTGTATTCTTCCATTCATGATTCAACAAAAAAAATAGCGAAAACAAGAGCAACATTTGTTCGTAGTTCTTCCATTCACTTCTCCATTTTCTCTGTTCGCAGTTCTCAATTCAACCACGGAAAATTACGATTGATACAATTGTATACAAAATACGGTATAGTTCTATTATACATATGGCAAGTTTAACAGTGTTGTTGTGTCATTCTGGCAAGTGGAACGATGAGGGCAATTACGTTGATTTTTCAATTGAGGGAATACTGATAAAGGAGTATGCGTCGTATAATGATTTGGTTGCTTCAATTTCTAATCAACTGGGCATAGATTTGAGCACAAAGTCCATTAAAATTCAATACAAAGTAGAAGGGAATAGCACGCCAATGTAAATACATAATGACATGGGTTACAGGGTGTATGTAGAGTTGAAAAAAGAGAACAGGGAATTCGGGATGTATCCTTTGTGCATAAATAGTATTTACTTTAAATAAATAGGGGATTAACCTTTGCTATAGGAGGTAAAAATTCCTTAAAGAGAATTTTTCCTAAAGCACCATCTTTTAGGTCTAATTAGCCATTTATAGATACCTTTTGCTATATTACGTGTTATAGATACCTTTTATGTGGTTATACAATGTATTTGATGTATTTAAGCTATTGTATTCATTAATACAATAGCAAAAATAGGCGTTAAAAAAGGAATTCCAGCCAAGGTTGATATGTATTTGACTGTATTCACGCGGCCTTATCGTGAATACAGTAATGTATTTGCGTAAAACCTGGAAGGTTGAACTAGACCTTTGCTATAGGAGGTAAAAATTCCTTAAATAGAATTTTTCCTAAAGCACCATCTTTTAGGTCTAATTAGCCATTTATAGATACATTTTACTATATTACGTGTTATAGATACCTTTTATGTGGTTATACAATATATTTGATGTATTTAAGCTATTGTATTCATTAACACAATAGCAAAAATAGCCGTTAAAAAGGGAATTCCAGCCAAAGTTGATATGTATTTGACTGTATTCTCGCGGCCTTATCGTGAGTACAGTAATGTATTTGCGTAAAACCTGGAAGGTTGAACTAATTAAAAACAGAAAGGAAATCAAATCACCTGATATTCTCCTAATTTAACTCAACGAACAAAAACTATTACCCATTAATCTGTATTCTTCCATTCACGTTTCAACAAAAAATTAGCGAAAACAAGAGCAACATCTGTTCGCAGTTCTTCCATTCACTTCTCCCTTTTCTCTATTCGCAGTTCTCAATTCAACCACGGAAAATTACGATTGATACAATTGTATACAAAATACGGTATAGTTCTATTATACATATGGCAAGTTTAACAGTGTTGTTGCGTCATTCTGGCAAGTGGAACGATGAGGGCAATTACGTTGATTTTTTAATTGAGGGAATACTGATAAAGGAGTATGCATCGTATAATGATTTGGTTGCTTCAATTTCTAATCAACTGGGCATAGATTTGAGCACAAAGTCCATTAAAATTCAATACAAAGTAGAAAGGAATAGCACGCTAATGGAAATACACAATGACATGGGTTACATGGTATATGTAGAGTTGAAAAAAGAGAACTGAGAATTCGGGATATTTCCTTTGTGCATAACAACGATTGAAAAAGAACTTGTATCTTGTGGTAGTTTAAGTGAAGGAGATATTGTGCAAATAGACGAATCACTCCAAAGGTATGATTCCGGTACGGATGATATGCTTGCTCTAGATCTTGTCAATTCAGGAGAAGCAATTGGGGTGTTTGAACTGAACAAGGATTTGATAATTTCAAAAACTAATCAAAGGGAGGTTATTGTTGGACAAGTATATAAGGACAAGGCTACATTGAAAGAGGTGATGGAGCATTATGCTATATCTCAAAGGTTTCAATTCCGGGTTGATAGGTCTAATGTTGTCAGGTTTGCGTGTATTTAATTTTTTTTGTATTTTGTATTATTGGTTCGAGCTGTAAGTTAAACATTGATGTATTTATGCGTATTTGTGGATTTACACTTGATCATCACTGATGTGTTTAACATATGTTTGTTTATGGTCCTTAAATACATGTATTTATATGTATTTTACTGGTATAATTACATTACATTGTCTCTAATTATTTTCGTATTTTGTTTATTGTCCTTTTAAGTGTATGTATATAACAATAATTGTATTCAGTTGTATTCATTGTATTTAAATGCATATAACTATAATTGAATTTAGTTGTATAATAATTTATATATATAGATGTCAGAATGTATTCAAGTCAGATTGTATTCGTGTGTATATGAGTGCATTTTTTTGTAAATATTTATGCTAATCATATGTACAATGATTAATTCTTTGCAGCTATGTATTATTATGTATGTCAGAAAATTGTGAATGGAAGTTTAAGGCTTCAAGCATTAACAAATTAGAATTATTAAAAGTGAGAGAGTTCATTGATAACCATACATGTCCGCTGAAGGACAAGGTGTATGAGCAGCGGCAGGCAAGTAGTAGCCTTATAGGTGGTATGATTAGGCAGAAGCTTACTAATCATAAGAGGAAATACACCCCAAAGGATATTATTGATGATGTGACATCAGATTTAGGTGTAGATGTTAGCTACATGTTGGCGTGGAGGGCTAAAGAAAAGGCAATGAATTTTTTGAGAGGTGAACCGGCTGATTCATACAAAAAATTACCAGGATACTTATATACAATGGATATGGCATATCCAGGTTCCCATATCAGAATGGTAAAATTGCCCAAAAATGAATTCATGTACGTGTATATATCTTTATATACCTTTATAAAGGGGTTTGATCATTGTAGACCCATTGTTGTTGTGGATGGAAGTCACCTAAAATCTTACTACACCGGGACATTCGTTTCGGCAAGCACGTTGGATGGTGCAGGTGAGTACGTGAGTTATAATAAAATCTGTTAATATTTTAAAGATTGAAATACATGTTTTAAAAAAATGTATTCAACTGTCTTTACAGGTCATATATTGCCACTAGCATATGGTGTTATTGATTCAGAGAACGATACTGCTTGGACATGGTTCTTTGAGCAGTTCAAGATAGCATACAGTGACGGGAAAAACATGTGCATCGTTTCAGATAGAAATGAGAGTATCATTAAATCTGTATCGAGAGTGTATCCATATGTACCGCATTTTGCTTGTATATAGCATCTCTGGAACAACGTATATAAGAAATTCAAAAAGAGCCATGCCAAGTTGAGTGAGATATACTTCTCGATGGCAAAAGAATACACACAAGCTGAATTTGACAGTCTGATGGAGAAGGTGGAGAAGGTAGATATTAGGGTGAAAGAATACTTGGAGTTAGCTGGATACGAAAAGTGGGCTAGGTTGTATGCACCTGTTAACAGGGGATGGACAAGGATGTCAAATATTACTGAGTCAATCAATGCCACACTAGTGTCATCAAGGGAATTGTCAATATACGACTTCCTCGAAGAAGTTAGGAAGATGTTTGGATGTTGGAATTGTAGTAACCGCAAAGAAGCTACACAGACATACACAACGCTTGGAAAAAAATACCAGGAGATGCTGACTTTGAATGAGGCAATGTCTACATGCATGACTGTAAGTTTTATTTTAATGTCATTGTATTATATAGCTTAATTATTTTCTGAAATAACTTACATGAATACAACTGAATACAACACATTTTTCATAATACAACTGACATGAATACAACTAAATTCAACTACATACAACACATATTTTATCGAAGATCTGACATGAATACATATGAATACAACTAAATATATGCTGCAAAAATCAACTAGAGTAAGATATAATTGATAGAAATATATGTCCTAATATAATACATACACATACAACAAATAAAGACATTGCAATTAGAATAAAACACTAATGGGAACTTTGAAAATCCTTATAAATACAACTATGCGAATACATCAGAATACAACTGACAAATCTGTATTATACAGAATTTTTTATATAGGCTCATTGTCATGTCGTAGCCTTATAATGTTTTTGTTACACTTCAGTTGCCTAAAGTACATTAGATTTTTGATGTATGTCATTGTATTCATAAACTAAGACGTAATTATAGTTTATAGTCTGCCGGTCTAAATATATGATATATTCTTCTGTATTCAAACATTTTAGTTGTATGTAACCGAGTAATTCAGCATTATACATATGGTAATTCAGTTATATGTGCTCAAAACTTATAGGTCTATGTTTAGATGTAGGTGGTACCATCAATTGAATACTTACATATAGTTAACGATGGAGGGAGACATTACACTGTCTGCCTGTTAGAGAGAAAATGTGTTTGTGGGAGGTTCCAAGTTGATGAATTACCATGTCCACATGCTTGGTATGTATTGAAGAGCAAGTTTCTAATGCCAGAAGAATATTGCTCTAACTATTACAAACCAAATTTTGTTGTAATGACATACGATGTGTCTATGTACCCGCTACTGGACAAAAATTACTGGAATATACTAGCACATGTTGCAGAGGAGGTTGTATTACCACCCAAATGGAAAAGACCTCCTGGAAGGCCAAAGAAAAAGTGCGATAAACCTTTAAGTGAATTGCTGCAGCCGAAAAATCAACATTCATGTAGCATATGTGGGTAGAGAGGACATAACAAGCGAACGTGTAGAAATTCTCCACGTAGGATTTAGTTAACACTCTGACATGTACTAGTGCTCCAATGATTTGTCAATACTTATGATGACATTGTCAAGTAATAAATTCTGAAATACTTTTCGTGAATAGATTTTGGATACATTTAGTTGCAGTACTGTGTTGGATACATTCGAATACAACCTTGTCCGCATATACTTTGACAATTTATTATAGACAGTGCCTGAGTTATATATATAACTAGTCAAAATACATCGGAATACAACTATATACTCGGCTATAATATAACAAATTCAATAAATACATATAACATGATTAGATTCTGTATACATTTAGTTGCAGTATTGTGTTGAATACAATCGAATACAACCTTGTTCACATATACTTAGACATACAATCATAGACAATGTCTGAGTTAAATATACAAAACTAGTCAGAATACATCGGAATATACTCAACTATAATATAACAATTTCAACAAATACGTATAACCTGTTCAATATACATACAGTTTCTGACTTTGATATTAACCTATTCAATACGTATAACCTATTCAAGCCAAGTGACTAAATATTAATACATACTTATATCCCGTAAGATACATATGAATATAAACTGAAGATTAAGCATGAATACTTATGAACAAAATAATGAAACATAGATTGAAAACTTGCAATTGTCATACACGAATACTGTTGATAAAGTGATTAAAACATGGTTTTTTCTAACTGAATACCAACTTCACCAAAAAATTATTCAAAAAACAGTATTCACCTAAAAACAACATTCCAAAACTACATTCACCTAAAGTTACTCTAACACTATCTGCAACTTTGAATCTGACTCCATGATTTGTCTAGCAATCTTTGAGGGTGCTTCATTCTCGCTTATGACATCAGCGTCTATCTTACGCATAGCATAGTACCAAAGGAGAGCACCATATCTTTGACGGAGTAGATTGGAATCAAATGTTGTTTGTGGAATATCACCAAGAGTGCTCAGAAACTCTGCGTATACCGCAATATGCACCCCGCAATCCCTGAAAAATATTGATTGAAACAATTAAAAATAATTCATACAATTAGATTTTTAAAATGATACAAGAATGATGATTGAATACATACATGCTCCCCGCTTTTTGTTGAGGCAGATTTGATATGAAAACAACTTCAAAGGGATCAGTATGTGACTTGTCAGTGTATGTTGAGTAAGTAGACCAATCTATGCCTTGACTATCTCTGTAAAAGCCACTGATTGATAGATACAGAGGTACAAACTTAGCTAGCTTATCTATCTCAGAAGCTACATAGGCATCATGACCTACAGATCTGTACGAGTCATACACTTTGATACATCTCTCCTTGAATGAGACAACAACCAATATCCAGTGTAGTTTGTCCTTCAAGTTGACTGGTATCAAGACATTGTCAACCGTATGCCAAGGTACATTATCTAGCAATCTGTAGCCCCTTATGTACTCACATACCATATCTTCTTCTTTGGCTACATTAGCATTACTATCTATATCAGCATACCTGTCGAAGATTTCAGCGATTCTTGTCTTGAATATACAATCAACAGTTGTATACTTGAAGTTGCTTTTTTGGTTGTACTTTCCCTTCTTTCTCAGATAGTAGAATATGACGTCAATATGCTATACACAAATTTAATTACATAGTGTTAGTCCAATACATCACACATATTAAAGAATAATACAACTGAATATAGAAAAATACAGCTGAATATAGCTGAATACATAAAGATGCATATTAAAGAATACAACTGAATACAACTGAATACAACTAAATAATACAGCTGAATACAGCTGAATACATCTGAATTTGCTTTATTATAGCAGAAATTCATATTACTGTAATACATATGTTAGTTACCAACTACTGATAACTTTGAAAATACAGAAGAATACAGCAGTACTTCAGGAATAATGATGCCATTAAGTACATCATACAGATTCAGTTAAAAACATGTTGCATTTTCAGCTAATAAAAAATGTTAAAATACATCTGAATACAATTAAATACAACAGATTTATTAGTAACATATGCATACAATTGAGTATATCAAAGTAATATAAGACAAATTTGGGTTAGAGATCAATTTGTGAATTATATAATTAGACAAACCAATACTAAAAAAATGAATTATAGTAGAGTTGGAAGGGGTAAAACTTACATTGTCATCTCATAGTTTACCGTCAAAAGATAGAAGGTAAAACCAATTTTTTGAATTGACTTGATCAACTCCAAAATCCAATGGTATATGAAGTATTGACTTGTTTTTCTTGTAATGGTCTTCCAAATTACTTCTACAAGTATGATATAAAAAATGAATTATATCCATTTTTAAAAATATAAATATGTAATAGACATACTGAGAAAAAACTCACTTCTACTCATGTCTAGAAAGAAGACTATCACGAACCCATTTGTTGTATTCCTGAATGATTAATGTAGGGTGCGGCCCCATTATTGAATCATCATCAAATGGGTGTCATTTTTCAAAAATGGGGGTCAACTTTACTGAGGTGCCTGTGGTTCATTGAATTCATGTATAGAGAGTTTTAATTATAAAAACCATGGGGAAATAGATAATTAGTTTATAAAACACTAACCTGTGGAGTCGAAGTTAGACTCGTAAGGCGAAGAATACCATTTACTTGGTCGCCGATTCCTATGAGATGGTACTGGGGTTGATGCAACTTTTTTTGCACTATTGTGTATCACAATTCTAGTTTCTAGAATTTGACTGGGAAGAAACTTGTCATACAACTCAAATTGAGATACATAGTAATCTGTAGATACACCGTCTTGGCCTATAGGTGGTAAGTTGCACGACACCTCTGATGTAGTATTCCCCTCCACTCTTGTCTCCACACAAGGAGCATTAACCACTGCATTTTGTTAGTCGTATGCATCATTGTTAGAAGTATGTTCAAAGACAACTGAATACAGCTGAATACCGAAAAATACATTTGAATTTGCTGTATTACAGCAGAAATTCATGAATAAAGAGGCAATTAAGTACATCATAAAGATTCAGTTAAATGCATGTTATTCAAAACTAATGAGTCAATTAAATACATATTACTGTAATACATATGTTAGTTACAAACTACTGATAACTTTGAAAATACAGCAGAATACATTAAAATACAGCCAGGAATAATGATGCCATTAAATACATCATACAAATTTAGTTAAAAATATGTTGCATTTTGAACTAATAAANCATGTTATTCAAAACTAACGAGTCAATTAAATACATATTACTGTAATACATATGTTAGTTACAAACTACTGATAACTTTGAAAATACAGCAGAATACATCTGAATACATGTCTTACTTAGATAACTTAGAAGTATGTTCAATGAATACATCTGAATACATGTCTTACAAATACATCTGAATACATGTTAGGGGTGTGTTCAATGAATCTCCTTAAGAATTACAACAGAAATATAGATGCATATAGGATTAATATAATTTAAAATACTAAATTATTCTGTATATACTTGTATTTCACAATGTTATAAAATTGTTTTATATATGATTAATCAGAACAAGAGCAAACAGGAGATCTAAACATATACTAAAGAGGTTAAAAAATGTTAAACCTCAATATTATCGCCGACTGGTGTATCAGTCTGTCTGTGACCTTTTGGAATATCTTGCAAGTTGGCTTCATATGACATTTCACTACCATCATCACGTGTCCATGTGGTTTCCTTTCTCTGGTGTAAGCTTTCTTTTTGCTGATTGTGTTGAAGATGGTCAGCAAGCATCTTAAAGTTATCATTGATCAATGATCTCAGAGACTTGAACTCGCCCACAACCTTAGCAAGACAGAAATAATTAGAAAGGTGCATTTGTACACATACGAATGTTAAGCACTAAACTGTAATGTTTAATGTGATAAAAAAACTCACGTATTCTTTGAATGAATTTAGGTCTTTCCTCAAAAAAGATACTTCATCATTTTTGGAATCTGCCAGCTGATTGTGATGCAAAATATTTTGTGCAATTTCAGATACACCTGTAGACATGTGAATTTTGACCCTCCCCAAGATGTTTTATATTTTAGCACGTAAATATTTATTTAGGCCTAATATAGCTATTTCAACTAATTTTTACTCTTTTACTTTATTTTATTACAAGAAAACGAAAATTACAAAAAAATAGTCTCAGTAATATTTTGTAGTCATTTTTAATCTTGAAAAATACCAAAAAAATAATTTATTTTAACAGTCAGTCTTATTTTAACAGTTATTTCACAAGTAGGCCTAATTAATATTTTTTAATAATATTTCTATATGGATAGATTTTTAGATAATTAGGCTAATTTTAAGCAAATCTAGTCATAAAGGCCCAAGTTTCAAGCCCATAATTCCTAGGTACATTTGACCTAACCTAATTCCTACCCCCTATAAAATAACACCTAACTCCTAAAATCAAAGGGGACTCGAAGCAAAAGCGGCAGCCTACTCCAAAAAAGATCCCATTTTTCCTTCAATATCTGATCTTCCTCAAGAATGCGAAGACCTGAGCACCCCTCAAGAAAAGAGAATATCGGCCACACCTAATTCAAAAAAATACCGTCGGCAACACCCTTGCAATTGCTTTGGACTAGCGAAACAAGCGTTTCTCAAGTGCTTGGGCTTTGATTCGGATCGTGATAATTGTAATACCAGAAGACATGCTAAAGAAGATTAATGGAAAATGCTATATTTTAGCTCCTTGAGACAAAAGTGTCTGCCTTTTGTACAAAGATCAAGGTTTTGGAAAGAGTAGTTGCTAGCCATTTTAAAAGTGTATTGTATGCCTTGAGATCTTGCTAAGTACTGTGGAAATCGTTGTTGCATGTTGTGTTTATGCCGATCATGGTCACAATAAGATCAAAAAATTCTTTTCTATTTGCGCATCAAATTAAAGGTCAGTTTTTTTATTTTAATCATGGTGCATCGTTTGTTG